TCTTGAGGAGAAAGGGTACCAGTGCCCATGCCGATGTCGTGGCCTGTCAATTTGAGGCCTGATTGCAGGCGATGCCTTTCGCTATCTTATCCCACCCCATGCTGCACCCGTGCAAGATACATATGGCACAAGTACACATCATTGCTGGCCGCTCCCCATGCCCGCTCCAGGTACGTAGCAGTATCAAAGGCAAAATTCCAACCGGTCTGCTCAAAGCAGCAAACCCTCCGCGGAGATGCAGCCCTAGCCCACGGTGGACACCACCAGGAAGAGCCTGAAACCTTCAAAGTCCTAAAGCTTTTGAGCCCCAAAGCGTTAACATCCCCCCAACCCAGCGTCAGGAGCCACCAAACCACAAAATCCATTAACTCCAAGGCTCGACTGCTCAATGGCCGCCAGCCCACTTCGCTGCCGCATGCTCAGCGGCTTTCTAGGGCTTCCAAGGGGTTTCGGGATTTGGGTCTTCGTAGCACACATTACTGCCTGTCCAAAAGCCCTACCCGACACCCTTGGGTCAGGGGCAAATCTGTTCCCAGCACGCAAGGACGCAGCATGCTGAAATTGCAGCTCTGAACCGGCGGTGCTGGCATTAGTTGACAAGCGCGCATCAAAACCCAAACGCCTCTTAGTAAGTGCCTCTTAGTACGTGGACATTCAGGTAGTTCAGGCTTGGATGGTTGGTGCAGCACTGGTACGGCGGCGAAGCTTAAGCAATCTAAACCCAACTTTTTTTGAGGGGTTAGAGGAGGTTATCTTCGGAGGACTGAGCTAGGGTGTGTATGGACAAAAAAGCTGCCACAGGGGTCTTGTCCGAAATGTGACTTCGTCGTTTCTGTGTCGGAGTAGCCGAGGCGCCTGTACCAGCATCCTAGAACTCCAGTGCTAAGAATTCCGACAATTTTGCGACTTCAATGCCAGGCTGCCAAAAGGCACCACTCTGCGTCAGCTCCGAAAGATGACCCTGGTTGTTAAGGCCTCAGGCCTCTGCGACTGTGGCCTCCAGCGCTTGCCCCCCCCCCCCTCTTGTCTCGGCTGCCGCCTTCGTTGTCCAACCAACCTCGGGCCTTATTTTTCGACAAGCGCATCCTGTCTTGAAGTTGAAAGTTCTGGAGATGGTACAAGGCTAAAGCAATGCCGAGGCATGGACGTAAAGGCAGATCCTCCCACTCTTATTCTGTTGATGGAAGCTGGAAAGTCATCATAGCCGACCAAAGTAAAGGGGGCCTTCGAAGTCTTTCATCATCAAAGCCCAAATGGGTGCAAGTCGCGCGCGGACAGCAACGCGACATGCCTTTGCGCTCCGCTTTTTGGTGTTTGGCGGGCTCTGCCTGCGTGCCCCTCATTTTTCCCCAAACGTCTCCAGGCCCCAACAGTTTGAATCCGAGCGGCGGCTGATTCAGAGTCAGTGCCGAGGTCATCCGCCCAAAGTACAACCAGAATCTTGGTCAGACAAGGAACGCGCTTTGCTTTGGGACTAGCGGTGCAGTGGAGGGTCCACAGTGTATATAGTCTACGACCTTGAGGCGAATCCCTGGGGCTTTGACCTTTGCACTGCATAGCTCAATTTGAGGCATGCGGGCTGCTACGTAGGCGTGTTCACCATGTTCTTAAGGGGTGCGTAGTTCCAGCCTGGAGTTGCCTGAGATGCCGCCGACAGGTTGAGAAGACAGAGCCTTCACAGCTCATGTCGACCCTAAACTTCCCTTTAAACTCATCCCCGAAAAACGCCTCCCCCTCCCCCCCGGCCCTCCGGAAGAAGAAGCATCACGGTTTGGGTTCAGGAGGGGGCTCAGGACTCCGGCACTTTCAGAAGGTGTCCTCTCAGAAAGCAGTATAATCATAATAGCAACAATGATACTACTACTAATAAGAATGCTACTACTAATGAGAATAATAACAATAATCATAACAAACATAAGTAGCCTCGTTGCAGGATGCTCTGCGCGCAGCCCTGCAGGGCTCCAAGGGCAGGGGAAGGGGGGGGCCGAGTGTTTGAGACACTGGGGGGCCCCTGAACCCAAGCTTTCTCAAAATTCTTCAAATCGTCTCCAGCCCCACCAAAAGCTTATCTTCACACCCCCCCTAGGCTAAGCCAGAGGTCGGGAGTGCGCACGGATCATTCGAAGTCTCGGCATCAAGTCCGTGGTGTACTCCTCCGAGGACGGTCTTCCGAGCTTTCGTCCTGTAGTGAAGACCCCGACGAATTAGAGTTTTGCCTTTTCCCAGCGTCTTTGCTTGCAACAATCCTGTCAGTACAGCAGGTCGAGCGAGTGGTGCTGGCTTCTCTAGCCCAACGCCCAAAACCCGAGCATTGCTTCTGCCTGGAGTCCCTTCAATGATTGACCCAGCTTTTCTTAGGACACTCCGACTCTGAACGCCTAACCTCAATCGGTTCAGCTTCAGATGATGTGCAATTGCTCCGGGCGAAACGATTCTCTTGAGCTTGCGCGTCTGGAGGACATGCTCTACCGCTGCGACACCCAGGCGCTGCTTTCTGCAGCGCAGCCCTCCTCAGGCGTCCTGGGAGGGGCATAGCGGACGGAGAGTTTTAGGGCTTCAGAGTTGCTCGTCCATCCTTAATAAGGGGCCGGTTTAAGAGTCTGTCCACCTCTTGATCTTGGCACGAGGTACCCTTTTCATGACGCGCGAGGAGCCGGGCTGTGACTAGTGCAGCCTAAGTCGTCTGGCTGCGTGTGGGCGCGACCCCCTTTCTATCGCATCTTGCTGTGACCTTCGGCGAATCACAATGGAGAGATCAGCGTGACTACCTGAAGGTTTCTTGTTCAGTGTGACATGGGGGTTTCTGGCAGGGGTTTCATCCGTGCGCCCACGTGGTACAGTTGCTTGCTGGCCCTCAGTAGCCTATAGAACCTTCACAGTTACGGGGCTTCAAATTCCAAAAGGGCCAGTAAGCTGTAGTGGCAGTGGTTGCCCCCTCGCTTGTGCACAGATTGTGTCCCGCTCGTGCAGACCGGATTGGAAAACACCTTGCGCCTGCAATCGATTTTTGCAACGGGGTAGCCCAAAACAAGTTCAAAACACTTTAACGGGGCATTAGGCTGCCTTACGCTGAAAACCCCTGAGCCTTTAGGCCCTTCAACCCGCAGACCCTAGCCCTATACCTGGAGCCAAGAACAACTTGACACCTCAACCCCACTTGAGTAGCCTGCCCTTGGGCCAAGTCGGGCTTGGTTCACTTGCGGTCAAGCCGGGAGGCCTCAATCCCCCGCCTTGTCATGGCCAACTGAGCGACAAAGCCAACGTCTGATACCTGTCTCCGCATTCTAGTGATACGGGCCCTCAGAAGCAAAGGCTGCTGTCCAAGAGCGGCCCTTTCTCACGACTTGGCCTTGGATGATTTTTCCAATTGTCAGCAATTTTACTACGATCTGCTCTCTTCGGGTATCTTCACCAAAGCCGATCACCACCGCTCACTTGCTGAGAGATGGAGATCTGGCTTATGAATGAGGCCATTCTTGTGGTGAGTTACCCCCCCACATCCCCCCCCCTCCCCCCCCCACGTCCCCCCCCCCCCCCCGCCCGCCCTGCCAGGGCTTGGAGGACATTCTTACTCTCTGTTGGGTTGAGAGGCGGCTTGTTTGACCCATCTTTTGCACTGCATTTCCTTTGCAAGGTTCTACGGGTGCGAATTCTAGATCAGTTTGATCTGATGCATCATGTTTCATGTCGCCGCTGTGCCGCATTGTGTTTCTTGGGCTACGCCATACATCCAATCTGTTGCTGCCACATCTTCAGTTTCATCAGCATGTCGGGCCAAAGTTGAGCAGCGCCGCTCGCAGGTACGCAACTTCAGAGGCGAGTGCCACGAGGAACTGCAGCCAACAGACAAGCGCTGGATTTGCGTGAAGCAGGTGACAGCAACACCACTGCCATACAAACCGTGGTGTTGAATCACGACGCCACGCTGGCTGTGTACGCTGCTTCACACATCCAGAAGTACACGCCTTGCCATGTCTTGGTTCTGGGGCCGTCTCCGGCTGGCCTTGATACAGCTCTGCAGTTCGCCAGCGCAGAGCCACGAATTGTAGTAGCATCCGCGTCTCGCGACCTAGCTTTCCTGCTTGGCATGTTCAGGGTGACGATGCTCGTACATGGCAGGGACACAAAAAGCAAGGGCTTGGGTGCAGTCTGTACTGTCCGAAATCACACCAACGGTTCGCAGTAGGCAGTGGTCGTGTTTCATGAAGCCCCTCGAGTTTCTTACCGCCCAGTGCCGTTTACAGCCACCTATTGGGTGGGGGGGGTCGCCTCGGGCGGTTTCGGGTCCCTCCGTGCCCCGCGGAGCGGCGCCCACGATGACCAGCAGCATGAGCGACGCGTGCCGCTGACAAGTTTGTTTTGGGTTTAGGGGCTCGGGGTGGGGAGCTTCCGTGGGTCGAGTTCGGCTGGTTGTAGCAGAGGGCGTCCTTGAAGCGGACTTCCTGACAGAGCCTCTGCATCCTACTCCCCGAAGGTCTCTGAACCCCGAGATGGGACCCCAGAGGGGTGCTCAGTATGCTCAAATCCAAACAATGGAAATGCACTTCGGAGGACTCCAGTTTATTTATATTTATTAAACAAGGCTTTGCGGTTACTCCTGGTACTGGTGAATGACTTTTGAAAGAAGCTTGCACTTCAAGCCCTCTCCTCGGAACCGCGCCCGCCCATCGCCAGGGACGACGCGGGCGCCTTCCTCAGCACACCTTCCGAGTCCTGCAGCCCAGTCAAAGGAGGCACTCAGATCTTAAGCCCTACATCCGACATCTTCAATGTAACTCGGGCCTTCCTGAAATCTCCTGATTCCTGTACCTGGGTTGAAGGCGGTCAGTGACATGTTACCGTTCTTCCAACATGAGTTGAACCATACTCCCTTGAGGCTCTACCCGAGGCGCGGGCCTTCTTGAAGTATGCAGAGGAAGTAGTTTCCGTAGGCCTCATGTCACGAGCTGCCAAGCTGAAGTTGTGCACGCCTAGACTGCGAAGACCAAAGCGGCGTCGGCATGCTGACCAAGCAGCAGCAGGCTCTGGCTTTCGCGCAAAATCCTTTGCCAGCTTCTGTGGGCAGGAATCCAGAAGGAGTTTTGTGGGTGCTTGTTTGCGGGATGCTTTGGGCCATCTCCTCCGGTTGCTTTGCGATATCAGCACCGCAGTTTCGTAAGGGCTGTGCCTTGGCTTCTATAGTAGGCTCACAGAGGGGCACCTTCGAGCCCTTGGATCGTTTTGCCGGGCTTTAGACATGGCCCCTGCCAGGATGAGCTGGACATCACCAAGATCAAGGCGCTGAACTTTCCCAAGCCTTAGCTCAAACCTTATAAATTATCAAACGCTTCCATTCGGAACCAGCCCAAAGAATGCAGCGAACCCCCTCACAAAACTCGATCCCACGGACTCTGATCCCAACGCTCTTGGTGGACGGTAGAGCCCTCCTGAAAAGCCCCCACCCAAAACATCGGGCAGCCCAGGTGAACATGGACAACGAGAAGTATCTCCTTGCCTTGGCCTCGGCGATATCGATGCTGTTATGGCTTTTTATTAGGGGTCTCAGAGGGAGCCTTTGTTTCTCTGGTGTTTTTTTGAAGAATGTGGAGGCAAAGGGACTAAGGGGAGAAGCTCGTTGCCTTTGGTGGGTTTTTTTGGGTTGCTTGAGGGGTCCGGGGATGGGGGGAGTTCCTCCAAACCTTCGGCTCAGCCCCCTGAGCCCCGGAAAGACTGAGAGACAGGCGCATCCCGAGATCCGCGACATGCTCTCCGTTTTCGTCCACCAGGTTTGGGGTGTAGGGTGTAGGGCCTGTAGGGTTTAGGGTTTGGGGTTTAGGGTTTAGGTTTGGGGTTTTTAGGGTTTAGGGTTTAGGGTTTTAGGGTTTTAGGGTTTCAGGGTTTTAGGGTTTTAGGGTTTAGGGTTTTAGGGTTTAGGGTTTAGGGTTTAGGGTTTAGGGTTTTAGTCTGTAGGGTTTAGGGTTTAGTCTGTAGGGTTTGGGGTTTAGTCTGTAAGGTTTGGGGCAAGCTGGGAAGAGATTCCCAAAACCATTTGAGGATCCGAAGTCGGCAGTTTGGGCTCTGCTTGTGCCGGGCAGGCTAACGATTTTCAGCCGCATCTGCTGCCAGGTCTTGGAATACAAGCCTGACAACATATTGCGATTCGCTGGCGACTTCTTCACGAGGTCAAGATCCGAGCTGTTTTCAAGCCACGTGCTTCCACCAGCTTTGAACCCTTAACACCTAAGCCTTTGACTGTCGGATACCTCGAGGGACGACCTCTACGCCTGCGTGAAGAAAAAGACCGAAGAAGCTGAAGCCTCAGAGTTGTAGGGTTCAGGGTGAAGAGAGAGGCAGAAAATATGGGTACCCACACGAATTCCTTCTCCATGCTTGCTACTTGTAGAGTCTCTTTGAAGCCGAGAAGCCCCATTGTTTCGGCATGATGGGTTCTCGCATAGCTCTTGAGACACTGACTCGTGCCACACGTTGTATGCTACTTGGCTGTTTTTCTTCGGATCCGGAGGTGTCGCGCGGCTGAGTTCCAGCACACCTGCTTATTTCCCGATGTTCAGGAGTCTTCTCTGTAGCCCAGCGTTTCAGCTTGGGTTGCACGTCGGGCATGGGGTTTGCTATCAAAACTGTCGTTCCAGAGAAAGTATTCCAGAACAGGGAACCACAGTCTCACTTAGGTGCATGAGATAGGTTCGACATGACGAAGGTGCAAAGCGTCGCTTCGAAATTGTAGTCTCACCAAGGAAAAAGAAAGTGCTGGCCTAATTCGGGGTGGTGGTGGGCGCTTGCACGGACCTAGAATATGATGAAATACCTTTTTTAATGATCCTTATGATTTTCCATATCATCTTATTATTTTGGATTCGATCGACTTGGACATGATATATATGGAGAAATTCGAAAAATTCTTTTGAGAATTTTTTTACGAATCAAGATTTGAAAAAAACTCAGAAAAAGATGAATAATAAAATAAAATTTCTATGAAGAACTATAAATGATAAATAATAATTGGATTGATTCTTGATACTATTTCGATCGGCAATTGATTGAATATATAACTTATTCTTATTCTCAATTTCTTTACGATTATTTTTTTTTAAATTTTGATTTTAAAATTTCTGATATTTCTACGTAAGGCTCTGGACTATTACATTTTTCGTTCTACGAAAATTTAATTATAGATTTCTTCTTTTCTTCTATTCATTTTGATTTTTTGGGGGAATTGAAAATAAGTATTGAATCTA